GCTACCTAGAAGTGGGGGAGCCACTGGCGCCCAAACCGGGGCCCCACCCCCCACTCCACCTGAGAGCCTCTTCCCGGGGCCATGCCCCCTGCTCCCTCCTTTCGGCCCCCTACTCTCCCCCCTCCCCCCGTCGTTCGCCTTTAAGGCAGGTAAAAAGTGATGGGGCCTCCCCTATTCCGGCCCTCTTGGCTCCCGCGGCCCATGCCAGTCCTTGAGATAGTTTTGCTGCTGGGTCCACACTGGCAGGAGCTGTTTGATGACCCCCCAAAGGAGCAGCCAGTTGCGGAAGCAGCAGCAGAAACAGAAGGGGCAGACGTATCCTCAGAGCCTGGTAGGTTTTTGGCACCAGGTCTGGTGTTATGAATGTACGAATGGGAGGAGAGGGGTTTCTGGTATATGACCCAGCGCACTGTTTATTACAAGCTGTGGGAAGCAGCATGTACCCACTAATGGCGAAATGTACACCAGCGTCTTCAACCTCACCCCCCACATACCTACACCCCCCACCACCACCCATGGAATTCAAAGTGGAGACCGGGAAGCGCAAACAGCAGGGAAACAACCATTTAACGTTACCGTTCTACTAGATACCTGCAAGTTCTTACAAAGATGCGTCGGGGTGTTAAATATAAGACCCAGATATTGCCTTCCATTTTCATACACCACACCGTACAAATCGCCTACGTCACGGTGTACCTGTGAACAATAAATTGTACAGCGCGGAAGTGTAGTGCGTGGGTGACGAATTCACTGTCTGAAATACGCGGGTGGTACACAGTCTAGAAATGTGACAGGGAAGGGGGGGGCTGCCTGTGCAGGCCATGCTATCGTGTGTGTTTGCATGTAGTCCGTAGGTAGATGTAGTCAGAGTAGGCTGTATTGTAAGCCATAGGGAAGCAGTATTCTGTGCAGATGCTAACGCAGTAGCCGGTTGATTTCCACCGTGAATTTCGACCCAATCGCAGGTTCTGATAGCTGCAAACTTTTCCCGTAGTATGAACTCCAAATAGGCAATCATATTTCAGGGAAGGGTGTATTTTCCGGGCCCGAGTCTATACGACATCAGCCTATTCCATTCATAGATGAGTTGCTTAGACATCACATGCTTGAAAAACCTCTGTGGCATACACAGCCGGCTTGTGAGCGGTACCTTGGAATGGACTCTCCCTTTGCCCTTCAGGAGCCACCAGGATTGTTACGTCCTCCAGAATGTGGAACGCCTGAAAGGACTGAGAATCCTTAGGTAGCAAACCAGAGCACCTCCCACTCTCCCCAGGCTACAATGGCCTGCAATTTTTAAATGTATATTTTAAATCAGAACAACAGGATAGTGAGCTAGATGGACCATTGGTCTGACCCAGTATGGCCATTCTTATGTTCTTAAACATTTAGCAATTGTGTATTTCACCTTACCATTTTGTGTGCCGTCTTTTCACTCTGCTTAACTCAGGCCTGTCCACGGAGCATCTGGGAACTTGAGTGTCCTTCTGAGAATATAATGAAGCTGAATTCTCCCACTGACATAGCTACCACTTCTTGCTAGGCTTACCCCCTTTGAAATGCAAAAACCCAGCACCCCACGCCCAAGGCAAGCCCGCCGCCTCCTTCTCCTCCACTGTGATCAGAGAACCCGGATTGAGAGCAGCGTGCCAGCCGGGAAACCTTCATCAACTGTGCCCAGCCCGGGTGGGGACTTTCCCCAACCCTCAACCACCGGGCAACTCTGCACCCTCCCTTTCAACAGCCACGTATAGTATCTAGAAAGATAACACATAGAACTAAGATTGATGACATCACTGGTCTCCTCACTCTCGCGTGACTCAAACCCTATCTCACACACACACGGGTGCGTGTTGGTGGGCAGACAGCTGCTGTATTTTCCACAGTTTTGATCTGTTCTCATTTCAACTGCAGAAGTGGGAACGCTGCACCATCTGTAGCTGGGCACAGAAACTTTTATTAGCTATCCCAGTGTCCTATGAGACTAGGATACAAATCTTTAGGCCCACGTGGAAAAGAAATAAACCTGGCAGTTTAAAATATTTTTCTGGCAAATCCATTAAAAAAAAAACAAAAAAAAACAGCC